GCTACTGGCTTCACGGTTTGCCGGGCAGCCTCCAGACCCTGCGCCCTTGGCTGGGCGCTTCCCCTCCCGGGCTCCAGCTGCGCTGGGGAAGCGCCGGCCGGGGGCACAGGGTTTGGGGGTTGCCCGGCAAACCGTGAAGCCTATAGCGCTCGGGCAGGCCTTTTCGCATGGCTGGGAGGGAGGAGGGGGAATGCAGGGCGCTCAGGAAAGGGGGCGGAGTTAGGGCGGGGACTTTGGGGGAAGGGGCAGGGTTGGGGTGGGGAAGGAGCGGAGTTGGGGCGGGGCCGGGCGTGGGAAAGGGGCGGGGCCAGGGCCCCGTGGAGTGTCCTCTTTTTTTATTTTTTAAATATGGTAACTCTATAAATAAGTTACACACAGAATTTTGGACAGATTTAGATTTCTAGAGTTTAATGATCATTCCCCTCTTGATTTAGGTAGTGTTTTTAGAGTGCTACATAATTGCTAAGTTGTTTTCTTACATACGCAGCAGATATGTGATTTATTTTTTTCTGGAATAAAGATGGTTTGTTTTCTTTACACCAGCCAGTGTTTGAATGGAACAATGAAATGCACTGAAACTGCTACAACTGCAGGTGATTTATATTGTTGTCTTATTTTCAGTTTCACGGGGAAAATGTTTGCTATTGAGTATTCATTCATTTGCATTTTTATATTCATATACATCTCATCAGATGCTAAATATCACCACTTTTTGTGACAATGATTTTTTCAGTCTAAAGTTACTTATCTTGACCTAACTGACTTTCAATGCAACTTGTATTCCTAAGTCACTTAGGTAGAATTTTTAAAAGCACCTCTTGTAAGACATAGGCCACAATTTTCAAACATGGGTGCCTAAAATTAATCCCCCAAATTCCATATTAAAACATCTAAAGGAAGAAACCTGATTTTCAGAGGTGCAGAGCAGATAAAATTTTAGTTGGATTTCTGATGGAATTTGTGAGTGCTCAACACCTCTGAAAATCAAGCCACTTCATTAAGGGCTGATCCAAAGCACACTGAAGTGATTGGTAATTGACTATAATAGGCTGTGGATCAGGCCCTTGGTGCCTTGATTTAGATGCCTAACTTTAGGCACTGAAGTTTTCAATTTTGGACCTTAGTTAATAGATATTCTTAATGAAATAATTGCATAGACTATAAACGAAAATGCAAATTTTCACTTTAACTGCAGTCGAACACATACAAAATGCACTTAGTTTAAATAGTATATCTTATTAATTACAATATTTTTAAAAATAAATTGTGAACTAAAAGAATTAGAAACCTTCAATGCAAAGGAGCAGCTGATCTCATTCAATTTGCATTTTACATTTGAAGTTCACACATGCCCTGAAGGAAAAATCTACTATGACTGCAGATATCCGGTGCCTGGCTTACCAGCAGCTGGTGTGAACTGTGAGATCTCTTGTGCAAACCTTGCCATGAACTTCACCTGTGTGCCATCACCACCATGTGCAAGTGGTTGTATCTGCCCCCCAGGGTAAGTGTAAGCCAGAGTGTTTAGTAGAGCCACCGGGACAGGAATACTTTGCCTCCACAGGGACTCCCTGTTCTTTTTTTTTTTCTTCAGATAGTTCAATTTGTAAATTTCGTTCTTCTGTTTTGCTTGCAAACATTTGAATCTATCATGCTGTCTTTTTTTCTGAGATGCAAAATAGTGATTGTTATCTCTACCACTGACCCTTTCTCTTGTCTCTGTGAGTGCACCCCCCACAGGTGCTAGGCCTCATGCCTTACCTTTTCTTCACAGAATCCTGCAGTTCTCCCAATCTTAGATCAGGTCCTAGGCTACAGGGCCCTGTGCATCAACTGTGTGTACCCTAGCTAGTCTGACTGGGTTTGGAATCTGCACTTCTTCCCTTTGGGAGCCTATGACCATGGGTTATGATGACCCAAAACAGCCTTCCCTAAAGCTAATATAATAAATATATTTATTTAGCCATAGGACCAAAGCATAACATAAAAGAAAATAATTTTAAAACAACAAAAGGTCTCCATTCATTTCTACCTTACCTAAAGCCCTAGGCAGGCCAGTCTTACTCTCTGGGGGATCTGTCCGGTGAGTGCCACAAGAGGTTGAACCAGAGCATCAAAGAAAATGGTTCTTGCATTGTCTCTCAAGTGTTTGTTGCAAAATGTATATCCGGATCCACTCCTACCCCCCTTCTTGGATGCATTTCCTGACAATCATGCTATTGAATTAACTCAACATATGGATGCAGTACACATCACAATAACCTGGTCACGATACAGTATTAATTATACGAGCAGTTCCAAATCCACCACACTGACATACAGTTGATTTAAGTTGGAAAGGCCAAAGGTACTACAGATATAAAATGATGTGACTCTGTTTACCTGTTTTTAACCACCATAATCCATCTCAGATTGTGTTGGATGAAACTGTGATGATAAACATTAAAATCTTAGTTGATTTATTTAAAGATTAGCCTTTCACTTTGTTGCATGGAAAATAAATTCACATTAAGTGCATAATTAGTGGTAAATTATGTTTCTGTATTTCATTGTACTGTTCAGGCATGCAGGGTCAATTTGTTTTTCTAGTCCCAAGACAGATAGAATAGAATAGTGTTATCTCCAAAATATTTGGGTTAGAAATTATTTCTGTTTTACAGAAAAAAAATGTAACTAATAGGCTTCCTGATATCCAGTTTATATGGAGTGTGACTGAAAGACAGTCCTGGGCAGGTTACAGACTTATTATAAATTTGCAATTGTAAGGCACTAGTGCTAGCCTCAGTTGATATAGTCAGTTGTTAGAAAGAGATGTTGAGGAACAAGAAATAATAGTGATCAGAGGTATCAATGAGACCAGGCTAATCTTTACCCCTCCTTCTAATTGTGAACAATTCTGTTTAATTTTTAAAAAGAAAATCCCTTTATTAAAAACTTTCTCCCTGCCATTGAGTTAAAAAAAAAAGAAAAAGACTAGTTTTATATCTTATGTGACCGAAGAACCCCTTAATGCCAACTGGCAAATGGGTACAGGAATATCCTGATTCTGGTATGTATGTTCTGGTCTCAAATGAAAGCCGTGTCACACTGGTTATTTATATTTTTGTGAAATATATGTGCAGGTATTATGAAAGCAGCACTCTGTGTGTGTGTGTGTGTGTATACACAATACCTGCACATAATATATATGATACTCTGAAACGTTTTAAAATCTATACCAAGGTACTGCTCACCATCAGATGTGCAAAACAGCTTTTCTGTCAGGCAAGAGATGTGTGTCCATCTGTCTGGTTGTTTAAATGTAAATGTACGTATTGTCTCATTCACAATGGGTTCCCCATCACCTGTCTGAGCTGAATGCAGATGAAGGATTGTAAGAATTTCAGAGAGGAACTAACAGGTAGAGGAACACATCTGGGGAAGAGAACCTCATCTTGAGATGCACTTCAAAGGTTTGCTGGGTTATATTTGCAGAATAAAGAAGATACTCTGTCATCCTGCTCCTGTTTACATTTAGGAAATGGGATCTCAGGCAGCTGAAAATGCTGAAAAGGACTTTGGGTGAGATAAACTTCTTTAGACAGGAGGTTAACCTATTAATTAAGTTTAGTCTCTTGCAAGTGTGTTATGATTTTGTTTTATATATACCCGAGGACTGGAAAAGGGCAAATATAGTACCTATCTATAAAAGGAGGAATAAGGACAACCCAGGGAATTATAAACCAGTCAGCGTAACTTCATTACCTGGAAAGATAATGGAGCAAATAATCAAGCAATCAATTTGCAAACACCTAGAAGAAGAAAAGGTGATAAGTAACAGTCAACATGGAATTGTCAAGAACAAATCATGTCAAACCAACCTAATAGCCTTCTTTGACAGGGTAACAAGCCCTGTGGATAGAGGGGAAGCAGTAGATGTGATATATCTCAACTTTAAGGCTTTTGATGCTGTCTCACATAACTTTTTCATAAACAATGTAGAGAAAAATAGCTTAGATGAACCTATTGTAAGGCAGGTGCACAACTGGTTGGAAAAACATACTCAGAGAGTAGTTATCAATGGTTCACAATCAAGCTGAAAGGGCATACAGAGTGGGGTCCCATAGGGCTCTGTCCTGGGTCCGGTTCTATTCAATAGCTTCATAAATGATTTGGATAATGGCAGAGAGTACACTTAAGAAGTTTCTGGACGATACCAACCTAGGAGGACAGGATTAGAATTCAAAATGATCTGGAGAAATGATCTGAAATAAATAGGATGAAATTCAATAAGGACAAGTGCAAAGTACCACACATTGGAAGGAATAATCAATTGCACAAATACAAAATGGAAATTGCCTAGGAAGGAGTACTGCAGAAAAGGGGTTATAGTGGATCATACACTAAATATGAGCCAATAATATAATACGGTTGCAAAAAAAGTCCACATCCTTCAGGGATGTATTAGCAGGAGTGTTGTAAGCAAGATGCAATTCTTCCACTCTACTTGGCACTAATAAGGCCTCAACTGGAGTATTGTGTCCAGTTCTGGTCAACACACTTTGGGAAAGATGTGGACATATTGTAGAAAGTCTAGAGGAGAGCAACAAAACTGACTTAAGGTCTAGAAAACATGACCTATGAGGGAATATTGAAGAAATTGAGTTTGTTTAGTCTGGAGAAGAGAAGACTGAGTGGGGATTTGATAACAGTCTTCAGGTACGTAAAAATTTGTTTAAAAGAGGAGGGTGATAAGTTGTTCTCCTTAACCACTGAGGACAGGACAAAAAGTAATGGGCTTAAATTGCAGCAAGCGAGATTTAGTTTAGACATTTGGAAAAACTTCCTAAATGTAAGGGTAGTTATGCACTGGGACAAATTACCAAGGGAGGTTGTGGAGTTTCCATCATTGGAGATTTTTAAGAACAGGTTAGACAAACATCTGTCAGGGATAGTCTAGATAATATTTAGTCCTGCCTCAGTGCAGAGCACTGTACTACATGACCTGCTGAGATCCCTTCTAGTCCTACATTTCTATGATTCTATGATTTGTTTCCAATAATCTTACTCACTATCTACTGAATCTCTAATCTTTGATGATGATCTTATTCTTGTATTCACTATAAATATATCTTAGTGCTGTGGTGTTAAGCAAAGGGATGGTTCTGAGCTGAATCTTACAAGCTGTGTGTATAGTGTTCCCTTGGGCTCAGCAAACCTGGTATTTCTGTGAGTAGCCAGTGTCGGGTTGGATGTCGCAGAAGTTTGCTTCAAAGGGACTCAGGAACTGGGGTGCACCTGTTGTTAGCCTGCAAGGCAAAGTAAGGGCTGGCATAGCTCAGAGAAGAATGCTTGAGAGGCTAACAGGCTGGTTGTGACAGGGAGCTAAGTACAAGCAAGACTCCCTCTTCTTGGAGGCAGAGGGTAACAGGGTGACTCATACCCCGCTACCCATTACATCTTATTAATTTGAAAAAAAATACAAACTCATCCTTAATGCTAGTGATAATACTGGGAAAACATTACTGTGAACTTTGTTTTAATTTTTAAGTGAAGGATCCTCAAACTTATTCATAGTGTGGATGGCATCTATTTGCATAGACCGCTTCCCCACTCAGCCACAACAGCAGCTACAGCAATTGCTTCCCTAGAGCGTAATATCAGGAAAGCATGTAGTATATCAGGGGTCGGCAACCTTTCAGAAGTGGTGTGCCGAGTCTTCATTTATTCACTCTAATTTAAGGTTTCGCGTGCCAGTCATACATTTTAACGTTTTTAGAAGGTCTCTTTCTATAAGTCTGCAATATATAACTAAACTATTGTTGTATCTAAAGTAAATAAGGTTTTTAAATGTTTAAGAAGCTTCATTTAAAATTAAATTAACATGCAGAGCTCCCTGGACCAGTGGCCAGGACCCAGGCAGTGTGAGTGCCACTGAAAATCAGCTCGCTTGCCGCCTATGCCCAACGTAGGTTGCCTACCCCTGTAGTATATTTTAGCTGTTCTTTTATGTAGCTGAGCAACTGGAGGTAAGAAGGCAGCACAATGTGACCAGCCAGCTCTCTGGACCACCAGCAGGTTTTCCAGTGACCAGCAATGTTATACTGGCCACAGTTGAAAAACTGTGCTTTAGGTGGTTAGTTAAAGCTCACGTAGTTGGATTTTCACTTTAAACAATGATTTGTTTTCTATTTTGAAGGATGGCAGAGCATAAAGGGAACTGTTATGTTCCTGATAGTTGTCCATGTACCTGGAAAGATTGGGAGTATCTGTCCGGAGAAGTGATAGCTACACCTTGCTATACCTGGTAAGTGACTATTATGTTTTACATATTTCCAAAACATCATTGCCTATTAATAAAGTGAACTTTATACTTAATACAGCAAATTTTGTAACGACATTGAAAAAGAAGGTGGTATGGGAAGGGAAATATCAAGGAAGAGAAACTGGAGGAGAATACAAGAGAAAAGTTGAATGTAAAATCATGAGTGAGGAAGCTGGTTATTTGGTAGCTCAGGATACAGCTAGGTGAGCTTACATAGAATCATAGAATATCAGGGTTGGTAGGGACCTCAGGAGGTCATCTGGTCCAACCCCCTGCTCAAAGCAGGACCAATCCCCAAGCAGATTTTTGCCCTAGATCCCTAAATGGCCCCCTCAAGGATTGAACTCACAACCCTGGTTTTAGTAGGCCAATGCTCAAACCACTGAGCCTATCCCCAATGCTACTTTCCAGTAAGGCTTGGGGCTATGTGCAGGATAAGGTACTACTTAGTATGAGTGAGGATACCAGAATCTGTTCATTAGCCAAGACCATGAAAGAAAAAAAAATGGGTCACAAAACATTAAAGGAAATAGAACAACTAAACAGCATTAAAATATTTTTAAAATTGGAAAGATAGCACCTGGATTCCTTTCACAGGTTTTCAACGTGGCCTGCATTGGCACCCACACAACTTTGTATGCGCTAACTCACATGTGGAAAAAAATATAATTGAGGGACACAACCTGTTTGCACTTGCTTTGTAGTCAGCTTGCATATACAAATTAGTGACAGTGTGAAAATGTTACTAGCAAATTGTTGAGCTCGGAAAATTAATTACACATGCATAAGCAGAGGCTCTGGATTTTTTGCTGTCATTTACACCAGGCAACTCCATTTAAGTCACTTCATGTAACTGACAGCAAAATTTGGCCCTCCAAATGTAAGCAACTTTGGGGCTCGTTTGGCACAAGGACATCCATTGATAGTAATAGGAGAGCTCCATGTATTGAACAAATGTAGATCCTGTCTCAAAAATATATCAAAATGAAACACAAACAGAAAGTTCTTAGTGTTCTAAGAATCTGGCTTAGGCATTGTAGAGTGGCATCACAGTGCTGGAGTTATCCATGCTGCCAGTGCACCCTGAGGAGGCAGTGGGAATGCTCTCACATGCCATGGAATTGGTAGGGTTTTCATGTTCATTTTCTGCACATCTTTATCAAATATGTGGGTTTAAGGCCACCCTTTTGTCACTTCTGCAACACTGGCAAGCTCACAGTTTTGGGCAGCATGCAGCACAACTCTGGGTTAACATGGCCATGCAAGTTTTCCCCTTCCTTGTTTTTTCCCCCCACAAGTCAAAATAAAGAGCGTAAGAAAACTTCTTTGAAAAATAAGGGTTTGAAAGGAAAATAGCTTTTCTATGAGACATTATGGACTATATTACCTTTTCCTCACAGTGTTTGCCGGCGAGGGATATTCACATGCACCAGTTATCCTTGTCCTGCTGTGTGTACAGTTTACGGGGATCGACATTATTATACTTTTGATGGGTTGGAATATGATTACGTCAGTGACTGCCAAGCTTATTTAGTGAAGGTAGGAGAATTGTTCACACATTGCTTTTATTTTCCCTAGGCACACTCCTGTGTAAAAAAAAAAAAAAAAAAATAGAGAACTGGACTTGCAAAGGGAGCCTGTACATTTTTTCAATATCAATAGTTGATATATGGAAAGAGCCTTTAATAAAGAGGGTGCAACAGAGATGTAAGGGGAAATCTATAAAGAATTATCCTATAAATGACTTTTTGTGCTAACACTATTTTGAATATGATGGTGATGATTTTTTTAATATAGTGGACAAAGTGTACATAGGTGCTCTAAGGACAAATAAAAGACAGGACCTGTCTCTGCCCTGCCATGATAAGGGAAGACAAATCAAAAGGATGTGTAGAGACCTCCCTCATCAAGCCATCTCCTCAACTGCAGTTCCCATTGTGCTCCTCCATCTGTATCTTTTAGATTTAAGCTCTTTGTAGCAAAGGCTTTCTTTATTTTCTGTACTCAACCTTGCTGAGTAAGTTGTCAGCCTTAAAACAAATAGCAGGGCATAGGAACAGTTTAAGATTGGCTAACCATTATTTGCATCTAGCTAGAATTGCATCTAGCTAGCTTGTTCTAAACCAGTGGTTCTCAACCTATTTATCATTTTGGGCTGCATATGCGGCCCACAATGTGTTATGTGGGCTGCAAGTTGAGAACCACATCACCCCCACAAAAGCCCAGCACAGTCCCCTATGCCCAGCCCCCCTGCCCAGAGACCCCTCCACAGAGTGGGGCCAGGAGCGGAGCCCAGGGCATGGGGATGGGCAGCCTGACTCCACACCATCGCAGCGCGGGTCTGGGCAGCCGAACCCCATCGCCCGCCATGCGGGGCCGGGCAGCCTAAAACCTGGGCATGCTGTAGCACCCACCACAAACCCCTAGTTCCCAGTGCCCCCACCCCCTCAGTGCTCAGAGTGCCCTCCCTCCCCACAAACCTGCCCAGAGACCCACTCTCCCGCACCCTGCCTCCCTGCAGTACTCACCAGCTCCTCTGCTGACAGGAGCGCTCCAGCAGGCTGCCAGATACTATCTCCTTAGCCAGCCCCACCTCCTTTCAGATCAGAATGGCAAATTTTGAATTTTTTTTAGCACACAGCTGGGCCGTGGATTGAGAACCGCTGTTCTAAACTAACCGTATAGGTAATTGCTTTGCACTATATCCTCTGTCACTCAGAGAACAATAAAAAGTGACAATGTAATTTCAAAATGACAGCTGTATTGCTCTCACAGGATATGTCTGCATTGCAAGTAGACACCTGCAGCTGGCCCATGCTAGCTGATTTAGGCTTGAGCTGAAGGGCTGTTTAATTGTGGTGTAGATGTTCAGGTTTGGGGTGGACCCCTGGCTTTAGGACCCTGCAAGATGGGAGAGTTCCAGAGCGTGGGCTGCAACTTGAGCCTGAATGTCTACTCTGCAATTAAACAGCCTCTTAGCCTGAGCCCCCAGAGCCCAAGCTGGAGTCAGCTGGCACGGGCCAGCTGCGGGAGTCTAATTGCAGTGTAATCATACCCAGAGACTGTTTTCCTGTAAGAGCAGCTAGCATGGAAACTAGTGTGCAGCTAGATACAGCTTTTGCACTTGTTTGTTTGTTTATTTGTTTTATATCACATGTTCATTTATAAAATGCACTTGGTTGGCATAGTTTCTAGGGGCCTGATCCACAATGCCCAAATCAGTGGAAGTCTTTCCATTGACTCCAATGGGATCTGGGTTACACCCTGAATGCATGTGTCTAATTAAACTCAAGTGTGCTGATTTAACAAAAAAGCCACAAATTCCTTTATTATGATTGGCTGGCAACTACATACTAATGTTCCTAATAGCAAATATTTACATTACTTGCCTATTTTGTGTAAAAATACCATTACTGACACTTCTAAATGTATCCTCCTGTTACTAAAAAAACACTAATTATTTCTTCTTCTTGGTTGGTGCTTGTGGTAGTGTTTAAAAGTGAGAATCTGTTTTTGGAATTCTAGTAGTGTCCTATAAAAGAATATTTTTACTGTGCTAATACAGTAACTCCTCACTTTATGTTGTAGTTATGTTCCTGAAAAATGCGACTTTAAGCAAAACAATGTTAAGTGAATCCAATTTCCCCATAAGAATTAATGTAAATGGGGGGGTTAGGTTCCAGGGAATTTTTTTTCACTGGACAAAATATATATAGACAGACAGACACACACACAATATAAGTTTTAAACCAACAATTTAATACTGGTACACAGTGATGATGATTGTGAGGCTTGGTTGAGCTGGTGAAGTCAGAGGGTGGGATATTTCCCAGGGAATGCCTTACTGCTAAATGATGAACTAGCAATTGGCTGAGCCCTCAAGGGTCACACCCACGAAGCAGCAGGAATGGAGGGAGGGGAGAGAACATCACAGGGAGAGAGATGCGCATTTTCCCTTTAAGTACACTGCCTTGTTAATTAGATCAGCTTGCTGAGACTGCAGCTGCTGCCAGCAAGCTCCCTCCGTCCTGAGCCCTGTCGTGTGTTCTCCCTGCTCTATGGAAGATGGGGTAAGCGGGGTGCAGGAGCAGGGAGGTCGGGGACACCCTGACATTAGCCCCCCTCTACCTCCCCTCCCCCCTGCACAGCAAGCAGGAGTCTCGGAGAGCAGCTCTAAGGCAGAGGGCAGGAGCAGCACATGGCAGTGGGGGGAGGGACAGTTGCAGTTGCTAGCCTGCTGGGCAGCTGCTGCATAGGGAACTTAGGGGAGCGGGGAGCTGCCGGTCCACCCTGGTTCCAAGCCCCCACCAGCTAGCTGCAACGGGCTGCTCTTCCTGCAAACAGTGGACAAAGCAGGCGGCTGCCAAATGACGTTAGAAGGGAGAATTGCACAACTTTAAACGAGCATGTTCCCTAATTGATCAGCAACGTAACAACGAAACAACGTTAACCGGGACGACTTTAAGTGAGGAGTTACTGTATGTGACCTAGTACGTCTAACTCTGATAAAAAGCCCAGCTTCTCAGTCATTATTATTCAAAATAACATTTCAAAGAAACTTTACAAAATACCCATAACTGTGTGAAATAAAATGAAATTATCAAAGTAAGAACAATGTGAACTTACATAACAACTTTACATCTACATCTACATGGCCTGAAGTTTTTATGTCTGTTTGCAAAGCACTATTCAAAATGATGATTTACAACCCTCTTCTACCAAAAGCCAAAACAAACAAAATCACTCACAACTAAACTCCTGATATGCATCAGGGCATCTTCTAGCTAGAAATAGAAGTTAACTTATTTGTTATACCATCTTGGCATGCATGAGTTGGAAAATTAATAGCCATCTCTTAATCTGTAAATCATCCAGCCGGATAGGTACATAGCCCAATCTTTACTAGCCTCTCCACCTTCAGGGGGCTCTGACTATTTTGCTGATCCCTCACATTGTCCAGTCGAGTTTCACTTGCCATTCTTCTTCTTATTAAATATATTTATATTTTTAAATGAACCACTGGGAGCACACGGAGTTGTAAAGTTCAAGAATGAAGTTGGCAGTCACATAATCAAGGCATATGGCACATTGCCTGTAGTCCTTTCATCCAGTGAACGAGATGACACAACTGATGAAAATGCTGCCTATGTAGATTTGTGATATCAGTACTAGCCTTGTTGTGTTGGAGACAGGTGCAATGGTAGGCCTACCTAGAAGCCTTTCAAACTCTGCTTTTTAAAAAAAATTAAGATATGCCTGGTTCACAATAGCTAATTTGTTCGTGGTCCTTGGGTTGCACTGAAGTGCTGAAGGATTTCACCACCCCTACAGAAGGATTGTTTACTACAAGCCAGGCGCTGTATGATGATTGCTAGAATCAATAACATTGCTATTTGTTCAATTCTGTCTATAAAATATTTAGAGGCAGTGAAGAGACTGATTTATCAGATTTATCAGATAGTTTCCGTGTCTCTCCTACTGAAAGGTTGGGTGGTTTCTGCTTTAAATATTTGTCCCAGGGATTAGGTTAAACTGTTTTATTTCCTATCCATTAAATCCAGTTGATTTAGCTGGAACTCTGAAGTATATGTGCTATAGATACTCCAACTGAATATTAAAGTATACACCTTGTCTATCATCTTTTTTTTTCTGCTGAGAAATAGGTCACTTTGCTCCTGCTAGTTTATAAACTGGCAGTAGAATACAATACTGGGAACTGTTGCTACCAAATACTTATTGCTGTGTTCTTTACTGACACAAGACTGAGTCCTTGAGTTTTATCCTGAATCTATGATAGCTGTTTTCTCAGTTGATAGGATAGTGAGTTATGCCAGTTCACTTAATTGGCTTATGCTGTTTGACTTGGCATTTAGCCTTTCTGAATCTGGTGCACTGTGTTTAAACCATACACTTTATCAATATATCCTGCTGTTAAAGTTTAAGAAGATGCACCTGCTTGTGTTGGGAAGGAGGAAAAGGAAACACATTTAATCTTTCAGCCACTTAGGACATTTTAAAACACAGACTCAGTGTAATTATTATCAGCACTTTTTGTTTAAGATGACACCAGGCAAACGAAAAGGCTTTTTATAAAAGTTTCAAAAACATATTCTGTATTGGGTAAGAAAAACATGTGAAAGAATTGAATGGAGCAATTTTTTTTTAAATCAGGGAGGTCATTATTTCTCATTAGTAATGTATTTCAAGATATTTTGTTTCATGTAGTATATAACATTATGAATTTAGTGCACGTAAAGGTTACTGCACTTGTGTATGACTTCTTAAAGAACATGTCCATTTTAAGCCCTAACCATTTAAAATCTTCCTTAATTAACAAATCCTTTCAAAGCAGAAAATCTCTATTCCGTGCAGATCGACTAATCTTTTTCACTTCATCGTAAGTCAAGTAAATTGCTCATTTTTTGCAGGTCTGAATATTGATAAATTCATGCCAGCCAAGTGTTATAGCTAAATAGAAGATCTTTCCTTAAAAGCGTAGGAAAGTAAACTCAGTGCTATTTTTCTACTGTAAAATAACT